AAGCCACAGCAGAAGATGCAGTGGATCGGAACAAGTGGCGACTTCTGACAACGAACAGCGGACCCTGCGACGGCGCGTGATTAACGCTAGGGAGGAGAAGGTGGCTTGACGAGCTTGCTCCAGCTTCACAAGAGTTTAAAGGTTACACCAGAGTGAGACTTTTAAGCCGGAACTAGTGAAGCAGCGACAGTGCAGTGCTTGTATACTCCTCAAAGGCATGTTTCACGCTGGAATGGGCGGGCCTGACATTGTAAATTCCTCATTGGAGCGCGCCTCCTCTTTATAAATAATTCCAGACAGAAGGGGTGCACTAATGAAGGGATAAACGATAGGTATAGCCCCGCCCATGCAACGAACGTAGAAGGTGCCTTCATATGATAATAATGCTTGAGCATGGTCCTCAGAATATTTTATGCTGTAGAATTCCTAGTGTAAAGGCATGAGCGTGGTGGCAGGGGGCGGGTGGTTACGGCCAGCGTCACTGGTGGAACGGCTGAGAGGGTGTAGCCAAACACCTTCTCGCAGCCCGTCCACCAATGACGTTGACAGTAACCGTACGTCTCCAGTGATCGTGCACACTGCGTTTAAGTTCTCCTTGGAAATTGACTGATTTAGATTAAAGCGAGCTACGAGGAGGTCTTTCCGGCCGAGGACGACCCGAAGAAAACCGTCGACGATAATTGTTAGTTGATTTTAGTTCGTGCCGGGTGAACTAAATAGCACACCCTACAGAAATGTTGTGATCATGTCATTTTCAGGTGCACTAATGTATTTAAACGAAGGAACTTTACTTAACAATTGTCGACAACGCTATTTGAAAAAACAAATTTATGTAAGCTAGTCTCCGGCTGTTTCGTCGCACTATATCAATGAGGGATGTGTGACAAGACAATCGTAATATGCCACGCTGGGCGTGGGGGAGGGGATGCCGCGCATAGGAAGGACTAGTTTCCCCGTTCGGCCGTTTAATTTGAATGTGAAAGGGGCGGGAAAGATCGATAAGACTCGGCATGAGGTCGTGCCTCCGCTTGACCCCCAAGTGTTCCTGCTCCAACTCGCCGCGCCATCGAACGAAGTGCCGCGCGCGACGGCGCGGCAAATTACGATTGTCTTGTCCTTCTCCCATCAATGAGTCCTGTAGCGAAGTGGAGGGATTACGGTGTTCTCATCTGCGGTGCGCCTTTCAGACATATGTTGCCAATATACTCATCT